CATGGTTCTTTCAAATTAGGTCAGCAAATGTCACTCAGTCTATATTAAATTAAGGATACTATTAGCAGTTTTGTTCCTGGAAAATTGGAGACTAAGGGCACAAATCTATGCAGATGCAGATAGTCCCTCAAACTGAGAAGTCTGTGGCCTCCTAAGAGGGGTGGGAGAAGTGCAGAGGAAAAAGTTGCTTCTGTGTTTCTCGCTGTGCAAAGCACTGAGGACAGCCAAGTTCAAGCCATCTATGTTGGCTGCTGGAGTGGGAGGGAAGGGAGCTGAGGTACTGCCAGCATCTTGGTATCCTAGTCTCCCACCTTGCCCTCAAAAGCCCTTCTCCATGGTTATCCTTTCAACCTTGGAAAAGCCACTGTCACAGTTGCTTCTACCCTGGCTGCAGGGTGGAGCGGGGGGACCTGAGCATGGCTCCTCAGCTTCAACGTTGGAGCAATTTTCTGACTTTGTAGCCTGGAATCTGTAAGACCCTATGGCCATCTGGGTGCTGTTTAGCAGCCACCTAATACATACGAGTATAACATATAGATGTAAAATGCAAGTATGCATATAAGCAACGCAGAAAAGTCTCTGAAGAACCTGCTTTCATTTCAATGCAGCAAGTGCAGAAGAACTTGCTGGTGGATTGATGTTACCATAATCAAATAGTAAATGGGTGCACAATAGCATATATCTAAAATATTCTCAAGAATGAAACAGTAAACCTTAAACATGTTTATATTGATAAAAGGTGTCTTTCCAATTTGCTTGCAGTGGGATTGCACATCACCTTATTAAAACATCTACGTGGGAAGTCATTACGATTTATTAACCTTGGTGGCGATTGTTTTTCTTTCTGTATATTCCCAATATGTATAGACACATTTTGGCTCTATAACTTTGATAGAGTTTGTCCAGTTTGGAAATAAACCTAATTATATTAACACAGGTGGGTGGATGTGTTTTTCTTTTTCTGTTTTTGTTATGCGTTACTAAACAATGCCTCAGGCAACAATATATTAGCTACTGCAGATGACTCATTTCATTATATATTAGAATGATAAACTTTTTATTAACTATAGCATATTTTTGTGAAGATTTTCCATGTATTTGAGATCATATAAATTAAGATCATGAGCTGACATTTCAAACAACAACATGACTTTATATAGGGAAAAACCTAGTTTTTCTGTCTTAGCAGGGAAGGGTTCAGCAATTCTTTTTCTCCTCCTATATTTTTATTTACTTAAGTTATACTGATAATTTTAATCTTATATTTGTAAACCAATGTATTTTTTGTATTTTGTATTTAATGGTAATTTATTATGTGCTATTGTATTTCATTGTATTTTATCGTGTTGTAAGCCGCCCCGAGGTTTCGGCAAGGGGCGGCATAGAAATGTTATAATAATAATAATAAATAATAATAATTGGATTTGCCCCTCGCAAGGCTTTACCTGTCCAAAAAAGCAGCCAGATTTGTGCCCTGACCAGTGAGTTTGATTTAGAATTTGTTTGCACCTGTTTAAAGTTTGTGCTAATTAAAGTCATGGAAGCCAATAATTGTCTCAGGGTCTGGAGGGATCAGTAATAACCCCAGGGCCCCAAGATAAGATGATGACTAAGAATACAGCAAGACAAAGTGGGAGGAGAGAGAAGTAGCTAAACAAGGGGCTAGTAGTGTGGGGAAAGAGAGAAGGGGAAAGGTCTCTGTGGTCAGAAGACTGCACCTGGGTAAGAAACAATGCGTTCCTTCTCTTTCTGCCTGCCCAACCACTGAGAACAGGAAGGAGAAATGGCATCCTAACATTTTTCAAGTTTTTTTAAAAAATAAAAATTATTTTGGGGGGGGGCAGGGAATATGAAGCTGCATGGGCACCTTGAAGGCCCCGCAAGTCCCTGGAGTAAGTAGGCTTGACAGACTGAAAACTATAAGCCATGACAGAAAAAAAAAATGGAGTGAAGACACTGGAGTTTCAAGCCTTGAAGGAAAGTTAAACATGACTGTCAGATGAACGGGGTATACATTTTTATTTCTTATGCACTAAGTGTGCAAGAGATAACCTCAGGCTAGACAGGTAAGAGGAAAAAGCAGGCCATTCGATTTAGCCTGCTGAAAGTCAGTCAGTCAGTCAGTCAGTCAGTCAGTCTTCCCTATTCCTTTTTCCATGTGAGTCCTATCTTTTTAGATAGTAAACCTACAGGCAGGGACGTGTGTTTTACCGATTTGTATAAGCTGCTCTGTGAGACTTTTTTGTCTGAGAAAAGATTTAAAAATATTCTAAATAAATGTAAATGAAGAACATGTGAATAGCATCAAGAACAGTTAAGCTCCGACATGATGCTTTCCTTTGCACAATTCTTGAAAACATTTATTGATAAAATATCTGAAACAGATACAAGCAAGTAAAAAGGTTGCATTATATATTAAGAAAAATGGAATATGGCTAAAAGAGATTCTTAAAAATTCAAAAGGCAACACCTGAACTTTCCTGATTTTATTTGTACCTTGCCTTTCCAAGAAATATAGCACTTGAGATTGCTTACTATCATAAAAACAGCTTGATTTTAAAAACAGCTTGGTTTCCTGTAAATCCAACCTTTCATGCAAGATTCTACAGGAAAAGGAACCCCATCTTCCTGGCCACAGAATAAATATAAGATAGATGGTGCAGGGCTATAATGAAGTAAACTTCCTAACAGCAGTTACAAGATAACCTAATCATGTGAAGCTATCTCAGTGATTCATTCTCTTAACAAGTCCTAATATTCTTTCCCAAAGCCTTGTAGTATAACATATACACAGTAACACTCTTACTCTTCTCACAATCATTATTTCTGACAGACTGATCTTAGAAACATAGAAACAGAGTGAGTCAGAAGGGGCCTCCCGGGCCATCTAGTCTGACCCCCTGGCTCTAGCCGGTTCTGCTCACGACATGCCTACCGTGTGCATGTCTAGCCTGTCCTTGAACACCCGCACCGATGGAGCCTCAACCACCCCCCGTGGAAGCCCATTCCATACCCTTGGGGTCCTAACTGTCAGGAAATACTTCCTGGCATCCAAATTAAACCTTGGCTCCCTGAGCTTTGCTCCATTGGAGCACATCCTGCCCATCTCTGCAGGGGACAACAGGTCTCTACCCACCTCAGTGTGACACCCCCTCACATACCTATATGTCACCAACAGATCCCCTCAGAGTCTCCTCTTCTCCAGGCTCAAAAGACCCACTTCCCTCATATGAGATCTCACCTCATATGGCTTTCCGGCCACCATCCTTGTGGTCCTATGCTGCACTGACCCTAACTTGGCTAACTTAATCTTAACTCTTCCTCCAATACCAAATTTGCTTTTAGGACAAAGACTACTAAGAGCTATTGGCCTTAGACATATTTGCACCTAAAGCAAAATATCTCATGGTATTCTGTTACGCTCATCCTACAGAGACAGAGTAGAATATTCAAGCGGCATTTTAACTGTTAATACTATTGGATTTTATCTGGCCAGGGTGGCTTATTTTATACTGTATTTTTGTATTTTTAATTTCATGTTTATATTTTTAATTTATATTATAATTATTTTAACTTAGTGTTGTAAGCCGCCCCAAATGGGGCGGCATAAAAATGTTTTAATAAATAAATACAGGCAGGAAAACAGCACCCCTGCTGGAATCTGCTCCCCCACCCTGAACCAGGCACCACATGATACTTCATAATAAGCTTATCATTGCCAAAAGCTTTGTGCATGGCATTAGCATGGTGCCCATAAGTTAATGCTGAGCTGATATTCCCATGCAGTACAACAGGCAGAATGCCCCAGTATAAATATTTAGGATCAAAGTGTTACATATGTGGCTTTGATTTGAGGAATATGTTGTACAATTTAATTTCTCCCATTTAATTTAATGAAATGTTAGGCATGTTCAGCTTATTTAAGCTCAATTGGTTTCAATAGGGGAGCTGCATGTGAAATACTTGCTAGTTTTGAAGTCAATGGGCTTTAAATGGGATCACCTCTTTTAGGCTGTGGGTCAGGGTTTCGCAAGGTGTACTCCTGTGCAAGTGTATTCCTATGAAGAGCTTCTTCCATGGAGGTGGCACCCACGCAGGTGCCAATGTTTCTTCAAGCTATTGCTATCATGCATGTTTATGGTCACACATACATGATGCATGCGCAGCAACATTTAGGGTTCTAGTCCATGTCTGTGGACAAAAAAAAGTACTTTATTTGACTTCTAATTTTGTTCTTTCCCACAGGCAGAGGAACAGTACATTTTAAAACATTTTAAAATTGCTCAAACCCTTTCCTTAAGCCTGGTTACCAAATGGAAGAGTTACATTTGTTCCAAATTTTAACCAAAAGTCATCCCAAATATATAAGGACTTTGACGAGCTTCCAGATGGAAGGAATTGAACAACTGTACCATAGCCATTGAGAAAATTCTTCTGTTTTGCTATTGCTTGAACCTGATGTACAGATTTATTTATTTATTAAAACGTTTTTATGCCGCCCCATTCGCCAAAGCCTCGGTATTCGCCATAGCCTAGTCAATCAGCGTGGGATTACTCAATTAAGCCTTTATAGGTTAAAGTCACTGCCTTCAGCCTTGGTAGGGCTGCAGGAGGCCAGTACAGAACCTGGTGCACTAAAAAGCCCTGCTCCTTTACCCATTCCTTCCAGGAGGAAGCTGCTATGTTCTACCCCAAAATACATGCCACATTTTTGTGCATATTTCAAGTTTCAGATTTTTTAAAAAAATGAGAGGAAAAAAAAGAATGAAATGCACCTGAAATACCTCACACTTTTAATGTACTATTTGATCTAATCTTATTCCAACATACTGGACACTGATATTGCAAAAATGCATTTCTTCCATGATATTACAAAAATGCTATTTTCTGTGTACTTAAGAACCAGTTGTAACAAATGCTTTTATCATGATTAACGTTGCACTCTGTTCCTTAAATTAGCTTGCAATTTTAATGGCCTTATTCCTTTTCCGGCTTTCCCTCTATGTGCACTTCTTCCTACGTTTTGCTGGGGGAGGAAAAAAGGCTTAGGTTTAGATTATTTGGCACAACAAAACAACCACATAAAATAAGCATGAAGTATACGTGCAAGCAGAGCCCACCCACCTGATGTTCTCTGTGTACGAAAGAGATCCACGTGGTTGTTCTACTGGGCTTTCCCCCACCCCGTCTTCGGCTGGGGGTGCAATGTGCTTAGCTTTGCGTGGCAACGTGGGGTTCTGTATCACCTCACATACAGATGCTTGGTCACAAGAGCCTCTTCAAGGCATCACTGCATGGCATATTTGGATGACTGCTGAAAGTGGCTTGTGGATCAGGGGAAGGATAATTATACATGGTGTGGGAAGGCCTCGTGGCATGGTCAGACTGCTTCTGATCGTCCAGGACACAGCAGCCTGCCTGGTGGCCTTTTGGTGGATAAAAATGCATTGGAAACTGCTTTGTGCAGAGATGAAGCTAGGAGGGTAAAATACTGTGTCCGTTGTGATTACTTGAGAAAACAAAGTCTTCTGTGTTTGCTAAAACACTGAAGGTCGCTGAAAATCCAAAATAAAATAGGCTTTACTTACCCCACAACCATTTAGTTAGTTGCTCCCCAAGGAAGTAGAAGGTTATCATTACACAAACAGCACAGATGAGAAATATAGCCTTTTCACATGGACCAAGCACTCCTAAAATGGGATATGCCCAAATTCCACCTACATGGTGCACCCAAAATATCCTATATACAAAGATAAATATAATGGTAAGAAACCATAAATTAGAAAGAATGCTAGCTGATTACATTTATTTCTGAGGTCACATGAAATACTACCCTAGGTTTGCTGGAAATTACAGGCAGAAAATTGTGCTGGGTGAATGTGGATTTCATTAAAACATTGAATGCTATACAAAATGTTGATCTCTTGAAAATCCCATTGATATAAATCAATGAGAAACAAAGGTGGCCAGATCATGGGGCCAGATTCATGGTAATTTAGGAAGTAACATTTGAACAATATGCACTGTTTGTGTAGTATTTACGTTATTTTATGGCCAATTTAACATCACAGAGGAATTAAAGTAAATTAGTTCAAAGAGGTCATTGCAAACAGACTTCCATGTGCAGAAAGGGGCAAACAATATGATCAAAGGACTGGAGCAACTCCCCTGTGAGAAGAGACTGTAATATCTGGGGCTGGTTAGAGTAGAAAAAAGGGGAGAAAAGATAAAGGTATATAAAATTATACATAGTATGAAGAAAGTGGGGTCATCCAATGAAGCTAAACAGCAGGAGATTCAGATGCATAAACTGTGTAATTCACTACCACAAATTTCACTAATGGCCACCAATTTTGATGGCTTTAAAAGTGACTTAGACACATTAATGGATTTATGGAAGTTAAAAAATATCAAAGGCTAGTAATCATGACTACCATATATTGCCTTCTAGTATCAAGGGCAGAATGCCTCTGTATGCTAATTGCTAGGAACACAGGTAGGAATATTCTGCTGCATTTCTCTCCTACTTCACAGCTTCCCACAGGCATTTGATTGGCCACTGAATAAACAGAATGCTGGACTAGATAGCTCTTTGATGGGCTATAATATGGCTCTTCTTACTGTTAATATACACACGCATACTTTTCTTGCATTTTTCTTAAATAGCTTTTAGCTAATATAGAATGAAGTATAATACCTAAGCAAACTGAGTACAAATGTTTTGTATTCTGCAAGTACATCAGGAAAAAGACTGAATACCTACCACATGAGGTATACTGCTGCGAAAGCACAAAGTCCCAAAATCCCTGTCATCCGACGAGGATACTTGTGTGCGCATATAACAAGCTCAACTACAAGTAGTGGCAGAATAGTAGTATGCTAAAAATCAAGATCATATGTAAGTATCAGAGCTGGAAGCATATGGTGCGAATGAAAACAAAGCTTTACTGTGTGTTACAGTTGTTTCAGTCACACTCAATATTATTCATTTATTTTATTCATATGCCACTTTTTTCTTTCAAGGAACACAAGGGATCTTACATAATTCTCCTCCTCCTCTCAGTCTTAGCCTCACAACAACAACCCTGTGAGGTACGTTGGGCTGTGAATTTGTGATTGGCCCCAAAACACCCAGTGAGCTCCATGGCTGAGTGGGGACTAGAATCCAGAGTTCCTGAGTCTTAGTCCTGCAGTCTTAACCACTGCACCACACTAGCCCCCAACAGGACATCTTTTATATTTCTGTTCCATGTTTATCTCAAGGAAAATGTTTTTATGGGCTAGCTATAAAGCAGAAAAATCCTGTGAATTCCCCACCTCCTGTTGAAACTTCTGTATCCAGGAATGTGTTCTGTTATTTTAAGGGACCACACACAGGCATGCAAAGTACGAGATGAAATATATCTAGAACACAGCCCTACCAAAGCCAAAGGCAGTGGCTTTGTTCTGTAAAGACTGCAGGACATAAAGATTGAACAGACGCATTATTTTGGTTTAATATTATGCACACTTCGAGTATGTAGAACTGTACTGCACAGGATGCTGGGGTGTGGCTGCTGTAATGCAATATATTCTCCCCCACTCCTATTCTGAGTAAAGGGCATGAACGGAATTATGCCCAATGCTGCAGCCGTGAATGCTGTACTTGTGTAAATGAAGCACAAGCTACTCTGGCTTGTTCACTAACTACAGTTCCCCAAGTACAAACATAACAGGAAACGTTGGTTGGTTTAAAATGGGAAGTGCATCTTCTACTCTCCCCTTCTGGCATGTACTGCTGAAGAAGGGGAAACGCATGTGCTTGATTTTGGTCACTGTTTATGTATACACTGGTACCTTGGCTCACGAATGCCTCAGTTCATGACCAAATCGGGTCGCAAACAAAAATTTCATAAACATTTTGACTTAGGTTGCAAACTCTGCATTGGGTGGCGGCCCGAGTGGGGAGATGGCCGCGATCATGCACGTCTTTCCTGCATAAGCGCACCCCTGATTGCGCCCGTCTTCTCTGCAGGAGCGCAACCGCGATCTCAGCCATCTCCCCCACCAGCATGATCGCGCCTGGCTCCCCCTGCTCCGAGCGTGCCCACGCTCGCCCCCATCTCCCCCCGCAGCACGCCCGTGATTGCGCCTGTCTCTTCCCCTCCAGTGTGCAGGGATGACAGCCGCGATTGTGGTCGTGTTGGAGGGGCGGGGAGATGGCCGCGCTCGTGCTCGGGGTGGGAGGGGAGATGGCCTCGATCTTTGTTGTTCTTTGTCACTTTGCTTTACATTTTTCTGATTAAAAAAAATAGTTACAGAACAGATTAATCTTATTTGCATTGAACTTTATGGGGAAATTTAACTTGGCTCATGGCCAATTTGGGTCACGACCAGAGTCCTGGAATGTATTAAGTTCGTGAGCCAAGGTACCACTGTATAATACTCGAGAGTAGTATTTTATTTTTATTTATTTATTAAAACATTTTTATGCCGCCCCATTTGCCGAAGCCTCGGGGCGGCTTACAACAATAAATAAAACCAATAAGTTAAAATATACATATAAAATAATCATAATAATTTAAAACACACAATATAAAATAAGCCGCCCTGGCCAGATAAAATTCAGTAGTATTAACATTTAAAATGTTGCTTAAATAAAAAGGTCTTTGCCTGGCGCTGAAAAACAAATAACGACGGTGCCAGGCGGACCTCTCTGGGGAGCGCATTCCATAACTTAGGCGCCACCGCTGAGAAAGCCCTCCTCCGAGTAGCCACCCTCCTAATTTCTCTCACGGAGGGCTCCCGGAGAAGGGCCTCTCCCGCCGATCTCAGTGGGCGACTGGGCATATATGGATGTAAGTGCTCCTTCAGGTAACCAGGACCCAAGCCATTTAGGGCTTTATAGGTCATTACCAACACCTTGAATTGGGCCCAGACTTCAATGGGGAGCCAGTGAAGCTGACGGAGAACTGGAGTCATGTGAACATAACATCCAGTCCCCGTCAGCAGCCTGGCAGCTCTATTCTGAACCAATTGAAGTATCCGGACCGTCTTCAAGGGTAGCCCCACGTAGAGCGCGTTACAGAAGTCAAGATGGGAAGTCACCAGCGCATGAGTCACTGTTGCAAGGCAGTCGTACTCCAGGTAGGGACGCAGCTGATGAATCAGCCGAAGCTGGAGGAAAGCGCTCCTCGCCGCTGTTGTCACCTGAGCTTCGAGTGAAAGCTCCGGGTCGAGGAGCACTCCCAAGCTGCGGACCTTGTCCCTAGGAGGGAGTGCAACCCCGTTCAGGACAAGGTTCAACTCACCTTCTCCAAAGCCCGAACCACCAACCAACAGGACCTATTGGTCCCATAGACCAAATTTTGCAGCATATTTATGACCAGATTAAGACTGAACAGACTGCACAGATCAAAAGAAATATTTTGAGAACCATATACTTACCATAGAATGATTAAGCCAACTTGGATTGATAGCATCCAACTCTGCTGGGTATATTAGCTCTCTGTCATATGCGTACAAGCCCCAAAAAGCAACAGCTACAAACTGTGGATAAAAGCATTTGGACATTGATAAGAATCACACACAAATGGAGACTGTGGCCATTTTAATATTTTTCAACTTCAAAATATTTTTGTTAATCCTTTCCTTTAACACTTTGGAGTATAGGTTTTTTTCAAAAAATCTTCAGGCAAAAAAACCTTAACGCTGAACACATCAGGACCAAGTAAAACTAGGTACTGTACATTGTAAGACACAAATACACATAATATTACATAATAAATTATGGTGCATTTTGTTATGTACACAGCAATTGCAGAGTAGTCTGTGTATCCCAGGGACACTGTGGGGTGAGGAACTCCTTTTCTCCATTACAGTTCCAATAAGAATAGCTATGTGAAGCTACTATTCACATTTCAAGGGAAGCTTCCACCGGTGATAATAAAGGTGTTCCTTGAAATATACATATAAGCATTGGAGAGAAAATTTTTGTTGGAATCCTAGCAGTAAGAGAACCTCCCCATCTCCTATGGTCCAAAGGCTGCTCAGGCTGTTTTTCCTGATGTGCTTATCTCCATAACAAGAAATATTATGCAAAGATTAACAGCAATTAATAGCAAACAAAGCTTGGCTCTTGGGAGTTTTCATGAGTTAAAACTCGGACAAGTGGCACCTGTGCATCCATATAATGTTGTACTCTTTCCTTCCAGGAAGAATACCTGAATCCAGCTGAGAATTGCTCCAGGACTGCGGTAGCAAGTTGAAAGAATACTCTAGTTCCAACTATTGGCAAAAGGAGTGAGAGCAACTAAGCAAGAACACCAGCAAGAAAAGATTGGCCTTGCCTAAATCCATTTAAAAGCCTATGCATAGGTCATCACCTTGTTTGGGCCTTGAAAACTGTTACCTCTGCTTTCCCCCCCTCCACACCTCTTCCATAGTATCTCATCATTTTAGTGGGTAGGCTGGTGGCAGGGCCTGTATCTTTCATTGATCTGAGTTGCTTTGGAAAATAATAGCTGAATACTACTACATTTATCATCTGAAAATCAGGATAAAAATACAGCAAATATTTTATTTATTTATTTATTTATTTATTTATTAAAACATTTCTATGCCGCCCCTTGCTGAAGCCTCGGGGCGGCTCACAACACAAAATAAAATACAATAAAATACAAAAATAACAATATAAAATTAACAATATAAAATAAATAACAATATAAAAGATAACAATATAAATAAATACATGTCTAACACCGATGATCATAGTTTGAGTATTTTTTGTCAGTTACATCTGCACAGAAGATTATAATGGTCCTTTGTTGTTTTTCACTTGCTCCTCAATGAGCAACCAGACTAGCCTGGTATAGAAACTCCTGTTTTTCTTTATGATGTGATCTCTATTGTTTAATGCCAAAGCAGAGAGAGAGAGCTTAAGTGAGAGACAAAGTTTTGCTTTTACTTGAAATGATCTTGAAGTTAGTAGGCTGGGTTTCTCCTCTCTGTGAAATCTGGGTTTTTACTGGAGCAGAAAAGAGTGGATTCAAAGGAGTGCTTTTGTAGCTTGCTGTGCAATTGAGTCCAAAATCGATTTGCTTTAGTTCCCCTCTTCTGCGCAATGCATTGCTGCTTTAGCCATGAACCCCCTGGCTCTAGTGTTCCATTCTAGTGGGTACCAGCTGATACTGAGACTCTCTTCTGGTCTGAAGAGGCCAAGGAGAGAGTCCCAAAAACTGTGGACTCACCAGTGAGAACATTCAGTTGTTTGCAGCCATTAACCTAACCAATTTTAGAAGCACACACACAAGTAGGAACCCTGCTACCAGACTTGGCTTCCTCAGTCCTTAATATAAGGGAATGTGCTTCAAAAGTGAAGAAACAGCACCTAAAATAATTTATCAAGCACTTTGCTTTCTTTCGACCCATAAAGCTAACTATAGTAGTAAGTATTTGAATGATGATGAATACAGTAATTACTTACTAAGCCAACAGGGAAAACAAATGCAGAGAAGATAAAATCTCTGATTGGCACCACTACATAGGAGACACGCTTTTCTTTGGAAGGGATACACAGAGCAACAACATCAATTAGGCTACACAGTGCATAAAGTATTGTCTGTAGAACCTATGGAATTACAATCAAATTATTTAATTAGATTATTTGATAAACAAATACATATTCCTTAATTTTCTAACAACGCAAAGGACCTGAAACAGTCTATTGCCAGTTGATTTTGGTCAGGACACATTTTCACAGTGTCTATCCATAATATGTATGCAGCAGTTCGTTTCCTTCTGGAGGCCTGGACAGAGCCCCTTCCCTCTCCCTTTGTGCCTATGTTGGAGTTAGGCAATCCCGTATGTAACTTCTCAGGGGTGGGACTCCCACCACATGGGTATCAGTGCAGATGGCTTTGTGGAAACTTCAGTCAGAGGTGTATTGCTTGGAGAGGAACGCCTTTGGGTGGATTGCAAGTTGACCTGGTCAGCTCACCTTCATATGAACCATGTCATACTGGGTCTCAATTATCTTAATACAAGCTTTAAATGAAATGCTGGAGCACTTGAAATGAACGTGCACATCAACGGAATGAGGCACGAGCAACTGCCAAGAGCCAACCTTTCTTCAACCACCGGTGTGGTGCAGTGGTTAAGAGCGCGGACCCAGGCGATCTGGTTCGAGTCCCCGCGCAGCCATGGAGCCAGCTGGGTGACTTGGGCCAGACTCTCAGCCCAACCTACCTCGCAGGGATGTTGTTGTGGGGATAAGACTGAGAGCAGGAGGAGGCGAATGATGTAAGCCTCTTCGAGTTCTTCGTAAGAATAGCGCGGGAGAGGACTCAAACAGATAAGCTAGCCTAACCTCCGCAGGCTCGAGGAGCCCCAGGGGAGGCACGCGCCTTCTCGCAGTTTCCCGCTTGCCCGCGTTCCCATTGGCTCCTACTCCCAAAGGCCCCGCCTCTGCACGTGCCACGATGGCGAATCAATGTCGCGCAGGCGCCTCTCCCTCCTCCTCTTCCCCGCCCCTCAGCATAGCGGCTGTCATTCACCGTCACCACCTGGTTAAGGAAGGTGAGATATTTCCATTGTCCGGCGTAGGTCTTGTCCTGCTCTTTGCGGACCGACCTGGGCACCCCTAAATTCTGGCTCAGGGCGAAAACCGCCCAGAGAAAGCAAAGGAAGTGCAGGAGCGCTACGGCCCGCTGACCCCGCAGCGCCAAAGCCATACTAGCGCGGGCGAGGGAGCGGCCGCGCGGGCCGTGGCCGTGCCTCGCGCAGCCGCAGCAGCGTGGACCTTTGCCGCTCAGCCGCCCGCCGCCATCTTTGGCAGCTTTGAAGCTGGTGGGCGCCCTCGCCGGCTCGCGACGCTTCTTCACCTCACAGTGGCCGTGGGGGGCCGTACCATTGCGTAGGGCGCGCGGGGGTGGGCGGGAGACACTCGTGCTCCCCCTCCTGTCTCCCCCTTCGATAGATCTTCCCAGCTAAGATCGAAAGCATTCCCTGTTCCCGTCGAAAGGTTCTTGGGCTCCTTCCCCAGCGATTTGCTTTCCTATGCAACTGGGTCGCTCTTCCCCTCAAACTGGGTTCAGCTCCGTCTTCTCCTGATCTCAGTCGCTGTGAACCGCCTTGCAAAGGAGAGCGGTAGAGCATTGCCATAGGGTAGCCTTGTCCAGCCCCTTGTCGTGCAGGTATCAGGCCAGAACTCCCGTTGATTCTAGTCAGTATCTGGGAGTGATGGGAATTGTAGTCTAGCAGATGTGGAAGGTGCCAGGTTGGAGAAGGCTGCCATAGGAAGCCATGGCATGCCGTGGGCTAGTCAGCATGCAATCTTATGCATGCTTAGGCAGAGAAAACTCCTGGGAGAAGACTGGGAGTCTTAATCTCATTTTCTGCTAGACTTGCATGGGATTGTGCCCTAGGGATTGGCCCTGAAGCAGTGAACTGGTGAATGATCAGCTTTTCACATAGCCAGTGAACAACACAAATGTGGGGGCTTTGATGCCCTGTAGCCACTTACACAGGCAGCATCCCTCATCTCAGGGCTACTAATTGCATCACTTGCAGTTAATGGCAAGACATACTGGCAAATATATTGCCTTTTCCAGTTCAGTGCACCCACATTTATCCCATGTTACAAATGTCTTAATTTTAAAAAAATCACAAAAAAGAAGAAATCACAAAAGAAGGGGAATGCTACTTGCTGGCTGACTACATATCACATATTCCATACACCCGCCTTCCCCAATCTGGTGGCCCTCAGAGGCATTTGGACTCCAACTCCTGAATTCCCATCCAGCAGGACCATTGACTGAATTCTGAGTGTTGCAGTCCAAACATGTCTGGGAGGCATGAGGTTGGTGAAGGCTGTGGCAGAAATCAAAGAAGTATGAGTTAGAATACAGCAGGAGGAGGGCGGGTTTTTCATCTCTCCTGTTTTGTGAAGCAATTCTTTAATCGGTTAGTTCCTTTGGAGTTTGTATGCTTTCCCATTTTGCTTTTATCTGCTATTGTTTTAGTGGTTCGAGCCATGCCATATGGTTACCTTGTGTCCCAGGTTCAGACAGGTGTGCAGTTTCCATGCTTCTCTTTCCTTCTAATAGTGGCCAGTATTCCATCAGCCCTTACAGCTGAAAACCAATTCCCATTTGTACTGCTCTTGCCTATATTGTCTTCCTCTCCCTCATTTGCTCACACACTCCTCTGGATGTGGCTGCAGTCAGCTGTTTCTAGGCTTAGTGGTTTATGCAGTGAAGCAACTGACTACTTGCTGGAGGAGCACTCCTTTCTTCTGCCCTGCTTTGTGACACTGTACAAGCACACTCATCCACACCTCTCCTTTTACTGGTCTATTACCAAAATAAAGTCATTCAATTCCACATCACTCCCTTCCTTACAGCACAGGTGTGCATGACCCCTTGTGTGCAGGACTCACACTGCCAGGGGCTGCCTTTCCCTTGCAGCCAGGCACATCAGCATGGGCATCCATACCAGAGATGGAGGGTGTGCATTCTGCCTGGGAGAGTTCTCTGGCAGGCTGTTTGGACACTGTATGTCTTGCATCCTTTGGGGGTGAAGGCAGCAGGGCTTGAGAGTCCTGAGGATTGTTGGGGACAAGATGGAAGCAGAGGAGAGGCTGCTGCCCCATCTCCTATAGCAGGGGTCCTCAAACTTTTCCACCAGGGGGCAAGTTGGAAGCTGCGGGTGCTGGGCGTGGGCCAGAAAGGTGGTGTGTGCAGGTGTGCGCACTGTGGCAGGGGTGGGGCACGCGGTGAGGCAAGGTGAGGCAAACGCGCAGGGAGGGGAGGCGGGGGTGGGCATGCATCGCGAGGTGGGTGCACGAGGCAGTGGCCCGCTCACTTGGAGATCGTTTTCTGCGAGCGAGCAAACCGCTGCCTCCCCATGTGTGGGGCGAGGTGGGCGGTGGCGTGGGTGCGTGGGGTGGATCCAAATGGGCATGGCGGGACGAATCCAGCCCCCGGGCTGTAGTTTGAGGACCCATGTCCTATAGTTATGGCTGCTCTTGTAACGAAACTTTTAACATTTTTAGTGTATAAATTTTTATATGATTTTGTTTGTTTTTGTTTTTGTTGTGAGCCGCTCCGAGGCTTTGTTGCGATGGAGGTGGCATAGAAAAGTTTTAAATAAATAAATAAATAAATAAATCTCTATGGTAAAAACATGGAAACTCCAGAGAAGTGTGGTTTCTGGGTTTAGACTTGAAAAGAAGCAGTGATGAAGTCTGGAAATCTTACAAGCTGTTGTATGTCCGCATATTTCCAGAGGCCAGCATGACATGCTTCACCATTGATGCTGGGTTCACATATAACAACAAACCATGCCCCCATAGTTTCCACTGTGGCTTGTCATCATGTGTGAACCCATACACTGTGGTGGTGTTTTTAGCTTTGTTTCTTTTCTTGTAAGCCTCCTTGAAAACACTTTCTGTCTTCTGATTTATCTATGATCAAAATATATAGAATAAAGTTGTCAAATGGACTACTAGGTTGTTTTCAATCCAGTACAATTCTGTACTTGCCTTCTCAGAAGTAATTTTCATTGAGTTCAATGAGACCTCTAGGGAAATGTGTAGAGGATTACCGCCCTAGGCAGAGTTGTACTGACAGTTAGGAGACACTGCAAAGTATTAAAAATGTGAAATTGTCAGTTACTTGAAGACAGAAAAAGTTCTGGTTTATTTCCAGTATAATATATGAAATACTTATTTTTAATCTGTAAGCTATTAATTTCAAATAAATAGCTTATACTTCTCTTTTAGTAGTTCTAATGTCTAAAAGGTACTCTTCCACATTGCAATATTATGTTTACGTCAGTGCTCAATGGCAAGTTATAGACAGTCAAGTAAAATAAGTTTATAAATCACTAATGTGACATGAAGGAATATTTTGAAGATTTCTCTATTTTTTCTGTACCTTAGCATTTCATATCTGTGATCAACTAAATATGCTTAGTACTGGAACAACTCACTCTTTAGAGCAGGGGTAGGTAGGCAATATATGGTCTTCCAGATGTTTTGGTCTCTAACACCCATCATCCTTCACCTTTAGCTGTACCATCTAGGATTGGTGGGAGTTGCAGTCCTCCAGATTGGTCTTCAAGTTGCCAGCTCCTGATCTAGAGGTTTGTGTATGTCTGCACAGATGGTTCTTTAGGTGTAGATAATTGCAACAAAATGGTTTAATTTTCTTACATGCTTAAGCTGAAATGTTGAAAAGCTGAGAATGAAGGAGTATAGGGTGGTGCTTTCATCTGAATGTTTTGCCATTGTTTAATGTACTACTACTACAGTTCTCTGGTCTGAAATGTCAGAATCTTTTTGCATACCATGTTTGCAAAAATATGACATGGGAACTACTAACCTGTCAAGCTTCTTCCAACAGTTAGTAGCCTGACAATTATTTCTTTTGAGTTTTCAGAAGCAGGATGCAATAGTTAACCAGAGGTTAAACTGCTTTGGACATAGAGCTATTCATAGCATTTTATAAAACGACCCTGCAAAATTAGTTTAATAATTTTAAGCTCTTTGAGGGTGCAGTCCTATGCCTGTTTAGACAGAAAAATACTTCTACAGCTTCCTGCATGTCTTTGGCCAACCAGCCTAGCTGGAGAATTATGGGACCTTTTCTGCTCAGCAAACATTAGGATTATGTCCTAGACTAGACCATTTTTGAAACAACACATTCTTCTCTATATCATTTTGCTGATATGGATAGCTTACTCTTGGCACATAACTAATAATTTTATAAAGACTATTAAGTAAACCGTTTTTAAGTTCTGGTGAAAAAGCTTGAACACATGTAACTGGGTGACACATGGAGAAGGTCTAAGCTGGTGTCAGTTCTTGTTTGTACAGTTGAGTGCACAAGGAGACACAATACTTCTATTGCACTGGGGAAACGCATTCAATTATAGTTCCTCTGTTTTGCAACAAACAGCAGTGCTGCTGCTGCAGCCTTTTAGAGATATCTGCATTGCCAAATGCTTTAAGCAGTATCCATACCTTGAAAATAGTATCTTCTTTTAAAATGGTCCAGGAATCTGTCAGTGTCACTGGGTTTCTGGTCATATTGGCTGTGTGCAGCAGCCGGGTGCAAAGGCAACATGCCTCTGAGTGTCAGTTGCTGAGAAGCAATGATGGGAGAAGGTTATTCCCTTAATGTCTGGCTTGTGGACATCCCAGATATGTCAGGTGGGGCACCATCGGAAACAAAATCCAGGATTAGATGAACCAGATGTGATTCTTACAGCTAATAGTTTAAATTCTAAGCTGTGAAATACTTTAAATTCCTGATCAGTAGAATCAAGCTTTCAGAAAACAGCACCAACTTCTTAGATATCAGGCATGTGCAGAGAAAAAGCTTACATCTCAACATCACTTTTTTTTAAACAATTGGTGAATATGGACAGTATCTGACCAAACCTTATTACTAATGCTAATTATGTTGTGCTATGTAAACAAACATTTCTGCAATATAGCTAGTGTTTGCTGCAGTAATGGGGAAAAGGAAGAAATCTAATGATTAATTTCAAGTGAGCACAAGATGAAGAAGAATTTTTGGCAAGGTGATATGGTAGATGGGTCTTTGTGCCCAGGTAGTAGGGCTATTTCTACTGTTGCCCTGGCCCTTTCCCATTAATATATGCTTGCCATTGCGGGTAAGCACTCGGCCATTATAGGGCAAGCCCCCTCACGGCTTGATTGCCCTGCCACTATTTTCTAGTGCCTCAAAGTGCTGGTATATTATGATGACAGTATTTGCAGGAACTATTCTTGCTAACAGTGATGAGTTTCAAATTGGAATACTAAGGTTTCTCTGTAACTATAGAAACACAATTTGAGAGCAAAAGGAAGAGTGTAAACACAACAGTAATAGTGTACACACAACAGCTGATAGCTACATGAAATCTGAATTAGATATGAACTTTTAACAATCTGATTGCATGTAGGCCTGAAAAAAAAGGGTTTTAATATATTTTGAGATACTGCACAAAAGCACCTTAGAAGGTCACCTGACCATTTATATTTTTGTATTAATATATTTTGTATTCTTAAAGAGTACATACATTTGGCTGTCACTGCAAACCACTCTTCCCAGATACAAGAGCCACTTTGCCAGCAAGGGTCTATATAGCTCAGTGGTGGAGCACATGCTTTGCATGCGGAAGGTTCCAGGCCCAGTTCTGGGATCTCCAGTTGAAAGGATCAGGGACAGGCCATATCAAAGGCTGGGAACTGTTGCCCGTCCAAGGAGATGCTATTGGGCTAGCTAGACAACTGTTCTTCCTTGATATAAGGCATCTTTTCATGTTCCTAAACAAGCAGAAATAGCATGCAGCACTTCCTGTACTGTTTCACCTCAGACTGGAAGTGAAGCGTTTAAATGCTCTTCAGAAGAGAAACCTCATCACAGGAGGGAAGCCAGGGAAACAGCTTAATCTAGCTTTACCCTCAAAGTTCTGCTTTCTGCATGGCAGTCTTTTCTTGGGGACAGCATTCAGACACATGACCCTGCCACCTGCAGTCTGAGGTGTTACAGTTCAGGAAGTGAAAGTACATTTCTTCAGATCTGAGTCTTCCCAGAGGTTGCTCAAAGAGGTCCCACAGGCAGATAGTGACTCTCATATGTGTTTGGCTTGCTCTGCTGAGTCCTGTTAGGAGCTTATTTAGTTCCAAATTTCAGAGAGAAGTAACATTTCTCATGTTTAATATTTTGTACTTGCAGTGAGTTGGCATATTTATACACAAAAACTCAGTTCACTATCATTTTGGGAATTAGCTTAACAACTTTGATACCTACAATATGGTGTGTTGAAAATCTGTAAGCTTCCATGTACTCGGACACTGAGGTGTCTTCTGGGCAGAGAAGAGAGAATTAACTAACTCAACACCTTCATAGTGATTATTTATTTATTTATTTATATTGTGATTTATATCCTGCCTTTTTCCTACAAAGGGCTCAAGGCAGCTTACATCATTCTCCTCCTCCATCTTATCCCCACAACAACAACCCTGTGAGGTAGGTTGGGCTGAGAGTCTGTGACTGGCCCAAAGTCACCCAGTTGGCTCCATGGCCGAGCGGGGACTAGAACCCGGATCGCCTGAGTCCCAGTCCCATGCTTTTAGCCACTACACCACACTGGCTCTTTCATTATGATGAAAAGGTAGGTTAGGATTGCCCTGGCCGATGCTGCTTTCCCAAACTTGTAAGGTTGGGGATACAGTGCAGCATTTTGTTGGAGGTGGTCTCAAAACTGACTCATCATTTATCAAGTGGATGAAGCTTGCTGGTTGCTTTTCTATTTTAAAAAAAGATGATGGGGAAAATAATTGACTTCTGCATTATAAATGACATGCATTTTATTATGAAAGGTATCACGTTGGAGCTGAGGAGTAACAAGTCATTCTAGGATCCTGGTGATGTCATACTCTAAATCACCCTGTTCATTGATGGAGCTCTGTAATGAAGCGGTTCATACATCACTTGGAACCACAGTTGGCCTTATTTGGAGAATTCTGGCTGGATCCTCAGGCTTGTGTGCTTTTCCTCCTCTGAAGTGTGATGACTTTCTGCTTTTGAAACAAGCCATAGTTCTTTTTTTCTTTATCCCAGCTGACAAAATGATGTTTTGTAAACACCTTGTAATGAAGTTTGCTAATAGTTTTTCAACCTGTTTTGCAGGGTGAGCGTAAACATTGACATTCTGGTTTTGATTAAAAAGCAAAGTGTGGTTTGTCCCAGACCAGGAAAGGAGAATACCGTGAAGCACAAGATGATGAAGGAAGGGGATTTGGAAGTGTCAGAGGCACAGGTACCTAAAACCAACCCATCTTTGTTTTTTAACTCTGTAGCAGATGATCATTTATGCAGTGTGATGGGGCAATGCAGATAATGGGTGCAAGTCCACCTAACAGCAGGTTCATTAATTAGAACATTCTCACACTAAATTCTATCTTTTACTAATAAATCAGATGAATCCTTCTGAAACATGCCCACATGATTGCTTTGGCAGAAGCAGATTCAAGTCTGCATCTTTAATAGTGATTGTAGTTGTCATTGTGTTAATATTCTACACACTGTAGACTAAACAGGTAGGTGTTTTCTTTCTCTATGAATAGCACATAAACCAGATGCAAACTGAAATGCTCATTTACATTTCCTGTGAACTTAAACTCTCAAATATGAATAACAGAATAAAAAATTCTTTCAAAAGGAAACCTGGGTGATATCAGTTCCAACATATAATCCTGTCCTTGAGGACAGTAGAAAAAAATAGATCTATAAACCATCTTCTCTGTAGCACCACTGATCTAGACGCTAAGTTGCAACAGTAGAAATCTAGTGTTTCCCTGACAACTGATAAAACCACAAGTGCATAAAAGCCGAGGTGGAAAGATACAGCCCTCATACATAGTATGGGCTAGAGCGGTAGCTTATCCTGCCTGAGGTAGCATGTAAAGTAAGGTGGAGGGTTGTGGTAGGCTTATAAAAAGAGTAATGGTAAAGTCTTTGTCATCTTGATAGGGGCTACTCGAAGGCAAGGTATCACCCACACACAAGAGGATGCAAGAGACTGTCCAGATACGACTGTAATTTGGTGTGCTTCAGGTATGTTTTCCTTTTTTGACATTATATCTAGAAATAATAGTGTGCATATTTTTCATAGTGCAAACCTATCTTCTTTTAGCTCCCATTGTTCCTGATCTCTTTTGCATTTTTGCTTTTGGCCTTGCTGCTACTTGTGCCTGTGAGAACCTCCCTGTTCATGTCTATGAAATGTGGTACTTGTCTTTTATAAGTCACAATTGGAAACTTTGTCAATCAACTGTCCTCTTGTTTATCTTTGCTGTTTTAGGTTGTCTTTCCCCATCATTGTTGTCCTACATATCTTTAAAGGATGCAATTATCCAGTAAGGGATTTGCACTTAAGTCCAATTGAAATAAATGGAACTGAGGCATGTGTTTGTAGATGTAGAATTGCAGTCTTTGTTGTAAGTTCTTTCAGCACTTGCCACTTTGGTATTTTGTCCAGTATTCAGCCTACTTTTCTCTAGTATTCATATGGATTTACTAATGCTGAAAATGTAGTACAGATATGACATGCATTAATATGTTGAAACTGTAGAGACAAACTTTTTGAATTGATCCCATTTGTAATTTTTAAAAAACGCAAATATCACCATAGGCTGCTTTGCTGCTGAACAGTTGTAAATTTGAAAACCCCAGCCTCTGGAAAAACACATTCCACATGTGCACACTTGAGCTGGTGCAATAGGAATTAACATTTGCCATGCTGGTACTTACGTTACGGTATTTTTCAGCATGTATGGCAGTTTGTGCCAAATCCATGCCCTATAAATGGCTACATGCAGAAGGAATGACTGAAGACAGACTGAAAGAGATTTGCAGATGTGATAGGAGAACTCATTTGGAAGGAGTTAGTCACTGAAGGCTGTTGGTCAGACCATGTTACCATAGTGAGGAACTTGTACACATCTGATCCTTTTTTGAAATGCAGCACAGTTGCTGAGGCATAATTAACTAATCTTTTCCATGAAGATATTGCTGAAATGATAGACAATGTGTAAGTGCTCCCTGTGTACCAATGACTGCATCATGTTTGTACCGGGAAATGAAATGTAACCATCCAAGAAGTAACTGTGACTCTCACTTCAGAAGTTCTTACCTTAATGGTTGCACTCAGAAGCACACAGGGGGCACCTGGCCGGTTGTGGCTTTCTGGTTAATTGGCAGAGTTGTCACGGATGTTACACTGAATAGAGAAGCTCTTGAAAGTTGAGAATGGAGAAGTTCTTTCCTAGAGCTCCTGTGTGAATAGGCAATCTATGCTGGTCAGGTAGAAAAGGAGTGAGTGAGAAATAGAACTTAATCGTCCTTATCAAACCCTTGGTGATGAGTAAGAAATCAGAGGAGCTCTGGTTTCACGATAACTGGCACTGCTGACCCACTTACTCTGTTTTTTTACTACTAGTGTAAGCAACCTGCAATGGTACTTCCAACAGAAGCTGGTGTAACGGATTCCTTGGGAAATGTGATGCCCCATCTTATGCTATTAGTGTGCTGCTGATAGACACACTGATTTTAACAAACCAAAGAACTGTATATCATGCTTCCAACTGCTCAACTATTTCAACAGAGTTCAACTTTCTTCCACTAGGATTGTTGGGCATCATCAGTTTTGCTGTCACTTATTAGTTCCATTTCACTTTGTCATGTATGGTATTTTAGCAATATTTATCTGTTTCATATTATGCAGCAGGTCTGCCTGTAGTGTTTGATCTTTTACATGGCTTTTCACCCAGGCTGGGTCACATTCTTTGATTCTTTAAGTCATGCAGGCTTTCCTTTTAGTGCTATAGTGGTGGGATCTGTAATTCTGCCTCACATGAGGTTAAATGCACATCCCCCCTCCCTAACCCCTTTATACTAGGTGTTATACTGTCAGGCATGCTGGGTGGGGAAGGATTTTAATCCCCAGTGATACCCAGTATCACTTGTGCTAGATGAATAGATAATTACAGGTTTTAACTTGCAAATTAAAGATACAATAAAATCTGAAAAACAAATTTGTCTCTGACTGAAGTGCAATATGAAAATACATATTAAAATAAATATACATTTTATGGTTTGCTGGTCAATGACCAAATAAAGAATTAATTGATTGATTGTTACATATTATGGGCATAAACACTGTTTGATCTTCAAAAAGATAATGGCTGCATGACAGAACAGTCATATTAAATAACCCTTGAGGAACTGTGGTGTGTGCTGGTCACCATTTTGAATATGCAGCCCCTGATCAGGCAGTTGTGTCACCAGACTTGGCCACAAGGGGTTATGTGAGGGTTACAGGTCCTACAATAAGCTGAAAGTTATGTGAGGCTGTTGAAGCTTTGCTTAACCTCCAATAGCTGGGGGTTTGGGTGACACGGACAGTCCCTGGTTGAGAGTTGTATGTACAAAATAGTGTGCTCATAATGGGTTAAAAAATCCACAGTGAGCGGTGACATGGCAGGTGAACCAGGTCAATGTCTTAAGAAGCCCATAGAATGTTGCCTAAGCTGCAAAAGGAGAAAGCAGGACTAACTGTGGCTGAAGTGGTTCTGCTGCATCAGGTTAGTTGTCATGACAGCATTGTGGAAATTTCATTGGGTGTGTATCAGTATAGCACTGATACAAGACAGTTGTCCACACAATCTCTCTGCTTGTCAAGAAGGATCATACATTGTATAAGCTGTTCTGTGTGAACTACCTCTAGGTTCTTAAAGAAAGGCAAGACATGATGGGATAACTTTGGCTGCTGCGAAACAGAGACCCATTTTGTATGACAAGCTAGGCTGACCGTGGGTCATTGGGTTCTGAATATGCAGCTCCTGATGGAGTTGCAGCATATCATATGAAACTGGCCCTCAGAGATTATGTGAAGTTGTTTAAGTATAATCCACGGTGAGCTCAGCATGTCATGTGAACCAGGTCATAGACTAGTGGCTTTATCTACAGTCAGTGAAAGTGGCTGTAGAGTGGGGCCCTGTCTCTTGTACATTACAGTTTGCTTAAATAGACTGTCTGATTCTGAGGAGGAAGTGGAGGAGCAAGAGGGGATGGAGCAAAAGTTTAAAGTTTCAGGGTCATGCAGTGAACCTTCTTAGGCTGAATGTGAGGATTAGCCCACCTTGGAAAGGGTGGGCTGGGGAGCAGATGCGGAAAGAGCTTCTTGACTTGGTCGGGCAGTGGCAGGTAAAGCAAGTAGACCAGTTATGAAGTCTCTGGCATTCCTGCCATCTCGCCCTCAAGCAGCAAGAGCCACTGAGGGTGGAGTCAGAAGCTGTACTGAAAAGGAGGGGAGTTTCAGGTGGATTCAACTCTCCACATGGGCGGATGCTTCTACCACCACTCTAGTAGAAGACAAATTTGATTCTGTAACCTGCTAAATTACAATAGACTTGGGCTTTTAAGGTTTCATTGTGAGTTTGATAAAGAGAGGGAAAGAGGGAAGTGCTCTGTTCACAACAGTGGCTCCAAATGGACTGCATTAGGTTTTTGATAGAGACATTTAAAAATGGATAGGCTTATTTGGTACCAGTGGTTTCTTTAGTTTCCATGGTACTTTGAATTTTTGCCAACTAAAATTTATGCAGTTCTGAGCAATTTCATAGTCATTGCTAGCAGTGACTAATACTACACATTACTAGCAATTCAGCCAGGACTTGTTTGTTTTGTTTCCTAGTAGGATAATTTATGGAAATTATTTTTTTTTGTACTTCATTTTCTTACTAAATGTTTGACCCTCTAAAGTGAATGGTATTTTCATTTGGTGAGTACTCACATCAGAAGGTAGTAACATTAGGTAGTAACGTTACTGATAGCATCTCAACAGAGGCAATGGAATAGTGAAGTCCTGGTGCAGCTAGGATAGTTGGATGCAAAAGAAGATGGGGTTTCTGAAACTTTAACGGTCATGTAAGAAGAGTCTTGCTGGATCAAACCAAAGGCCTGTGTTGTCCAGTCTTCCATTTGCGCAGCGGTTAAACAGATGCCTAGGGGAAAGCCACATCAGGACCTCTCATATGTTCTCCAATAACTGGCATACAGCTTCTGATACTGGACATCCAAGTTGGCAGTCATCAGCAACTATTGTTACACAATTTTATTATGTGCTGTATGAAGAAAAAAATATTTTTGTTTGCCCTGGTACTCTTACCATTTAGCTTTATTGTATGGTTTTAGGTATGAGAGAGGGAGGAAAAACCCTGGACAGTGAGAACAGGTGCATGTTATATAAAAGCTCCCCTTTTTAATCGAGTGGAGAAAATTAGTTACTGCTTTCCTTATATAGCATTATACTGAGACTGCAATTCTATGTCATTTTAGGGATTGGGTCTCCTTTGCCAAGAAAAAGTCCTTGTGGAATCAGATTCTGAGTCAAATGAAGAGGTGGGGCTGGAACCTTCAGCTGAAATGCCAAGGCAAGTAGACAGCCAGTCCTTGAGAATCAGTTTCAACTTGTGTGGGGAAATTTGTGAAAAAACTGATATGAAGGGGTATGTGGACCAAACATCATTAATCAGAGGTTAAGAATCTGGGCCAGTTGAGAAGCATCAGGTGCTCCAAGCAATTAACCCTTAAGGAGGACCCATCTTGAAGGCTGAGTTTGCTTTTTTCAATTTTGGAAGGGATGAGGGGTATTCAGTTTGGAATCAGCTTATCATGATTAAACTGCATTTCCCTAATGGCTAGTATTTTAACTTTGCTTGTTTCTTTATTATTGACTTAAATTCTTTCCTTTTGTAATACAAAGCAACCTAGATGATCAGTTTAAATATAACAAAGCCATTTTAGTTAGGAAGCATTTGTCTTGGTCTGCTTGGAAGGAGGGGGCAAAGAATAGTCACAATACCCAGTTACCTGGAAGGAAGCTCCATTAAACTAATTGGGCCTTATATCTGAATATACACTACAGGATTGCAGTTCAGATCATGCATTGCTAGGGTAATTCTTCAGAAGTGTGTTGATATTATTCTCAAAATCCTGTAAAGAAAAGCATTTATTTGCAGCAGACAATCACATATTAGACTGCTAAGGGAAAA